TGTTGAGTCAAGTCGTCGTCGTCGGCGGCGTCGTCCGTCGTCCGTCGTCCGTCGTCCGTCGTCCGTCGTCCGTAGTCAGTCGTGCGTCGTGCGTCGTCCTCCGTCCGTCGTCCGTCGTGCGTCGTGCGTCGTGCGTCGTGCGTCGTCCGCCGTCCGTCGCCCGTAGTGCGTCGTGCGTCCTCCGTCCTCCGTGGTCCGTCCTCCGTCGTCTGTCGCCGCCGCCGTCGTCGGGAGGGAGGGAGGGAGGGCAGGGTCGCAGGACCGACGTCGGCGACTGGCTCGCGGCGCGGGGCGCGGGCTGGGGCGCCTCCTGGCTGTGCCCCGCCGCTGCCCTGGCCTTCCTGCTCGGGTCCCTGCCCGTGGCCTGCTGGGACCGGTGCCTCGGCGCGGGCGGGGAGGAGGGGCGCTCCGACGAGGGGCGCGCCGGCCAGGACCGCCAGGAGGCGCACGAATCCGGAGGCCAACGGATCCCGAGGTTCTCCCTCGTGTTCGGGCTCTCGGGGCCCTCCCCGAGCCCAGGGGCCGTTAAGAAAAAAGTTGTTCGGGATGAGGAGGTGGTCCTTGGGGGGGGGGCTCCAGGTCCAGGACCCCTTCATGCCGACAGGAGCAGCTGGCGCGGCAGTGCGAGGAGGAGTCCGCGGCCTTGCTGCTCTCAATCCTTGCCATGCAGCAGAGCCGCGACGCGGTCAAGCACTACGTGAGCTTCGCGACGGACGAGGACGCGGCAGACGTACGGTACTCGTTGTGGCAGATCACGATCGTGATGGCGATCGGAGCGCTGACGATGGGACTGACCGCGTCGTTGCTGAAGCACTTCGGCACGACCAGCGAGAGGGACCCCTCGGCGGGCCTCCTCGCTCGATCTCTCCGGAAGGGCTACTCTGTCGTCGTCAAGGCGTCAATGTATTTCAGCGGTTGGGCGGCCCTCATCGCCCTGCAGTGGTTCCTGGTGTCGTACGTCATCCAACAAGCCGTGGCGAAGGTCGTCCTCTACGTCGTCGTCGCCCTCCTCTGCTCGTACTTCGCGTTCGGCATCCTGCTCGGCGTCGGCAGGCTGGGTCACGATGAGGATCCCGCGAACTCGGAGATCACCGAGACAGTCATGAAGACCCTCGGCATCATCGTCGGCTTCTCCTGGGAGCGCTGCGTGTCCGTCGGCAGCGGTCAGCTGGCCGGCGTCGCCACCGCCGCCCTCTTCGGCGGGGGGGCCGACAGCGAGGGCGCCACGGGGGCCGCTTCCGAAGCGGGGGCGGCAGGATGCGGAGGGGGACCCAGACCTCATCGCGTCGTGCGCACATCGCGGCAGCACGTGTTTGGCAGCTGTCGGCCTCTGGATGCCATTTCTCGGCCCCCGGGGCCGCCGGTAAACGGCTCGGGAGAAGGAGCGAGACTGCCCTGGGGGAGGAGATCGTTGCAAACAAATCACGACGTCGGGGGTCTGGGTAATTCTGGGGAGGGGGATCCTTTCAAAATTTCCCCAGACCACTCCTGGATCCATCCTCAACCGTCGTCCGAGCCGTGCCCGGCCGTGTCGACAAGGGTCGCCCCCGAGGGCCAACTGGGGAGATGGAAGAACGAGAAGGATCGGCGGAGGCTAAGTCCATACAGAGTAAGTCCATACGGAGTGCTCGGTCTCCGTCTGGACTGACCCCGTCTGGACTTAGCCTCTCCTGATTGGAGGCGATGTCCATACGGAGTCAGTCCATACGGAGTGCTCGGTCTCCGTCTGGGCCTTCTCCATCTGGATTTAGCCTCCCCAGGAGGAGGAGGAGCAGCAGGAGGAGAAGGACGAGGCGGAGGAGGAGGAGGAGGAGGTGGAGGAGGAGGAGAGGAGAAAGAGGAGGAGGAGGAGAGGAGAAAGATGAGGAGGAGGAGGAGGAGGAGGAGGGGGAGGAGGAGAGGAATAGGAGGAGGAGGAGGAGGAGGAGGAGGAGGAGAGAGAAGCAGGAGGAGGAGGAGCAGCAGGAGGAGAAGGACGAGGAGGAGGAGGAGGAGGAGGAGAGGAGAAAGAGGAGGAGGAGGAGGAGGAGGAGGAGAGGAGAGGAGAAAGAGGAGGAGCAGGAGGAGGAGGAGGAGGAGGAGGAGGAGGAGGGGGAGGAGGACAGCGCAGGTGTTGTGAGCTTCGGCGTAACCATGCTGATCTGCTGCGCCGTCTTCCTGGGCCAGCTCCTCGTGCTCCCCCCAGGGGCGGGCCGCAGCAGGCCTCCGCCGCCGCCCTCGAAGCCGCCGCCGTCGTCGCCGCCGCCGCCGTCGACGTCGTCGTCGCCGTCGCCGTGTTCGTCGTCGCCGCCGCCGCCGCCGCCGCCTCTGCAGGCTCGTGCAGACGAAGGGCGCCGCGGAGGCCGGGCAGTGGAGCCCTCCGCGCGGACCGGAGCCGGACGTGGCGGAGCTCCCGCTGCTCCACGGCCCTGCGGAGCTGGCCGCGCCGGCGCCTGCGCCGGCGCCGCGGGCGGCGGCGCAGCGGCCAGTGGTGCCCAGGCCCTCGGTGGGCTGAGGAAGTCGTTCGGCTTCCCAGAGGGGGTCCGAGAAGGTCCCAGACCCCTTGGGGTCATGAGAAAATCCGGGCGGAGGGTTCTTGCTGCTTTTAGCCATTGGGGGTGGGGGGCTCGCCAGGCCCCGGGACCGTGAAAAAACTGCTCAGGATGAAATGCCAGTCCCGGGGAATGGATCGAGACCTTTGAGGGTCGAGGTCATGAAAAATTCATGACGTCGGGTGGTCTGGGGTGGGGTCGGAGGGTCGCGCCGCATCGCCGATGCATCGGCGATGCTGCTCGATGTGGAACCCGAATTTCTCCACGCCAGCTGCGCCGATGCATCGCCGATCTGACCGATGCATCGGGGATCGCGCCTTCCGACCCCATCTACTCGGACCCCATATGTCTCCAAGAAGTATACGAGCAAAAAAAACACAGTATAACATCTCGGAGCTCCACGCACGTCCGAGAAAATATGTGTATGCCGTTGTTTGCTCCTCGCTCCGCCTGTTCTGGCCCACCACGCTCCTGCGCGACACGCTGTCCTCGGCCCGGGCACCAGGCGTCAACGTCCCGAGCCTTCCCGAGCCTCCCGCCCCGCGGAGCAGAGCGACGCGCTGTCCGCTCGCAGGGCGAAGCGTGCCACCGGGGCCGCCCCCGCGACACGCTGAGCAGAAGCCCCCGCCTGCAGGAAGGGAAGGTCAGGGTTAGGTCGGGCATGCCCCCCTACATGCAGTCCTTGCGCGAAAAAACAAGAATATTCAGAAAATGCCAAAATGGCAGAAAAATCATCTAAACATCGTCCCCAGAGTGTTTTTTACTATTTTTGAGTATTCCTCCTGTGGGGGGGCCTTTGTTGCGTATTTTTTTTTCGTGCAAGGTCCGCCTGTAGGGGGGCATGCCCGACCTGACCCCTGGCAGACCGACCGCGTCCGTGGCGAACCCCCCCCCCGCTGCCTCGCTCCAGGGCGCGGGCAGGCGGCACGAGGGGAGCCTCGAGGGCGCAGGGGGGGCGAAGCACGGAGGGGTGCCCGCCGCGGCAGGGGGTCCGGGGGGGCCGCGCCCGAGAAGCACCGCGTGGCGAGGGGCGCGGCCCGGGGGACCGAGGTCTGCCCTTGCCGGGGGAGGGCGCGAGGGCACGTCGAGTTTCCCCATGAGCGTCGGGGGGGCGTCGCCCCCGCCGACAGCCCCACGCCGACCCCCGTCGCGGGCAGCCACCGCGCGCCGAAGGCGCTCCGACCCCCGTCGCGGCGCGACGACGAGGCGAGGTTGACCCCCGTCGGGGGGGCTACTCCCCCACCCTTACTAAGAAACCCAGGGTAGATAGGGGTCTATCAGGAGAGGAAAAAACACACAAACACAATTACTCCTCGATTCCCCAGAAATTATGGGAAAATACGGGAAGTGGGGGGGAAGACACAAAACCCAGAAGATATGGGAAAACATGGGGAAGAGTTTTACTTGTGTGTATCTATCTGTGTGTCCTGGGGCCCCTGCAGTCTAGCGGATCTTCCGCGCTGAGCCTTGCCCTCGCGGGCAAAGCGCAGCGAGGAAGGGCCGAGGTGTCGGGATCGGGGTTCGAGGTCTCTGTGCGTGTGTGTGCCCGCTCCCTCTCCGGGCCTCCGCGGGGCTCCTCGGCGCTTGCGGCGGGATCCGCCTCTCGACATTCTAGTCCGAACGCGCCCCAGGAGAGGTCCAAGGGCGAAAACGAGGGGAAGAACACACAGAGACACAGAGAAACGCCGATCTCCAAACAAACAAACAAACAAAAAAGAAACTGCGATGGGGAGTGGAGGGGGAGACGAGGACCCAGAAAAGACTGCAGGTATGGGGCACGCTGGGAGTTGTGTCTGTTTATTTGGTGTGTCCCGGGGACACGTCAGAGGTCCAAGGACGATTGTCCGGGGCCGTCCTGAAGGAAAGGGGTGGCGGCGCGCAGAGGGGGGCAGGAGGAGGGGGGAAGGCTTCTTAGAAGCTTTCCCCTGTTTCTTAGAAGGTGCCAGCCTTACCTCTGCAGACAAGGCCCGCGCCTTCTAAGAAGCAGGGGTGCTTCTAAGAAGCTTCCCCCCCCTCCCCCTCCTCGCGCCGCCAAAAGGGGGTCCCACAGGAAAGGGTCCCTGGAGGTCTTCATCTGGCTTGCGGCTCCTGGGGCCCCTTTCCGGGGCCCGGGCCGTCCAAGGGAACGCCTCTCCAGGTCGGCCCTGAGTTCACCTCGATCCCCCTCCCGCCACCCGTCCTCCAGCGTCACCACCAATGTGCAGAGACAGTGTCAAAGCAGTCGCAGCAGAAGTCGGAGCAAGCGATGTGTTTTTCTGGCAGAAGGCCAGTTCACGCGAAAGGTACAGCTGTTCCGCCCCAGATCCTTGCAGTGACAGACGGACAACAGATCGATGCAATGAAGCATGCAAGAGCAGTAGCGATAGCCGAGAATCAGAACCAGCAGACATATAAATGTTCAGAGGTCTGAACCGTAGCCAATTTGGCTCAAGCCTGGTCCAGCGGCCGTGCCCAAGATGCGGCCTTGCCATGCACGACAGCGGAGCGGTCTTGATAGAGATTGAGTGCGAGGACGAGGAAGACAGCTTCCACAGGAACTTCGCTGTGGAGAAGTACCGGCTGCGTGCTGAGGCTCTGCAGTTGGAGCTTCACCGTCGACTTGCGGACGCAGGCGTGCCCTGCCAGGTCGTGGTGAACCCTGGCCCCGGAGAGGCATGGCTGCCATGCAGCTCGTTGAAGAGATACTTCGTGCTGAAGGCGAAGCAGAGCGTCCAGATGCGGTACCCGAGGCTGGGAGCTTTCGAGGTCTGGGCGCACCTGCCCCAAGGCTTCTCGCCGCTCGCGGGGGCCCCGGCCCGCCTGCAGGTGTGGTCCAAGCTGGAGAGCAGGCGGTGGCCGCACACCGGCACGCTCGCGGGGACGACTCTGCGGCTCCTGTCCGCGGCGCGCGAGGGCCAGGACGTGCTGTCCCTCCAGCCGCTGCTCCACTGCAGCTCCAGGCAGGCGCTGCCGGCCAGCACCGGTGGCGCCGTCAGGAGGCCGCTGTCGGCGTGCGGAGGCCGCCTGCCGCTGGCGGCCGCGGCGGCGCCGCTGGCGCTGGCGCCGAGCAGGGCGGCGGCGGCGGCGGCGCCGCCGGGCGGAGAGGCCGCGCCACTCGGAGAGGCCCGGCGCCCACGGCTGCCCGCGCGCCCCCGCTCTGCAGGCGGCGCCCGAGGGCCACCGCGGCCGCGCCCGGCCGAGGCACCAGAGGCTGCGGCCGCCCTGGCCCGCGGCCGCAGGGCGCCGGTGGTGCACGGCGCGCCCCAGCGTGGGCCTTGCCGCCCGCGCTCCGCGCACGCCGGCGCTGCCGCCCAAGCCGCGCCGGGGGCGGCCGTCGAGGCGCCGGCGCCGGCGAGCGCGCTGCGGGCAGGGAGGGGCTCCCCGGGCTCGCCCTGCCGCACCGACATGAGAGGAGCGAAGAGTGGCAGGAACATCGAGGCTCGGAGGTCCGCGCGGAGTTCTCGGATCCGCGCTGGGCGCCTCCGGCGGCGCCCCTGGCGCGCTCCGCGCGCCAGGGAGGGGGGTCCAGCGCAGATCCGAGAAATCCGCGCGGACCTCCGAGCCTTGATGGTTATGTCACTCTTCGTTCCCGTAGACATGCTGGACCCGTTCGAGGCGACCTTGCCTGCGCAGTGAGCCACTACTTCCGCTAGCCACCTGTGGCTGCGTGACTTGCACGACCCTTGGCGACGGCGAAGACGTCGCGAACTGTTGTCGAGCCACTTGTGTTGGCTGTTCATAAAAAAGTGCGGAGGTCTGAGCGGCTCTCTTGGGTCGGTGCTGGAAGCTACCATGGCGGCGACTCCGGCGACGCCCCTGGCGTCGCCTCGCGCGCCAGTGGAGGGGGGGCCAGCACCGACCCAAGAAATCCGCGCGGACCAACGAGAGTTTATGCGTATGCCGTTTTTGTTCCGACAGACACTGGGAGTGGCAGGGGGGGAGAACCATCACGTTGCGTTTTCTGTTGGCGTTGGTGTGCATTCGAAATTCTTCACGTTTCGCGTATCCCAGCAACTCGTTCAGAAACCCTGCCCATGAGAGCTGCCGGGAAAAGGAACGAAGAGACACATAGTGAAACAAAGCAGGCAACCAGGATGAACAGAGAGATCTCTAGGAGAAAGGGGGCGCCTTGGAGGGCCTCTGCGGGCCATGCCAGGAGCCCGCGGGGGGGCGAGGGGAGGAGGAGGAGGAGGAGGAGGAGGAGGAGGAGAAGGAGCAGGAGCAGGAGGAGAGAGCAGGAGGAGGAGGAGGAGGCGGAGGAGGAGGAGGAGCAGCAGCAGCAGGAGGAGCAGGAGGGGCAGGAGGCGCAGGAGACAGACCGTCTCTTGGGGCCCTAAATTAGTGGGACGCTCTTGGGGCGCTCTTGGGCTGGGCGCTCTCGGGGCCGTCTTGGGGCAGTCTTGGGGCCCTCTTGGCTCGGGGCTCTCTTTGGACTCTCTTGGGAGCCCTGGAGGGCCTCCTGGGGCCATCTTGGAGACCATCGATCAAAAAGGGGGGTTCCTTATCTAGGTCCCCTCTCTGGGGCCCTCATAATCGCCTCTTGGGGCGCTCTTAGGGCCGTCTTGAGGGCCTCTTGGGCCCTCTTGGGCCCCTCTTGGGCGTCACAGAGGGAAAGGGGGGGGCTTCTGGCCGGGGGGCCAGGAGGGTTTGGGGGTAGTTTCCGGAGCGCGAACACAAGGGAGGGGGGAGAGTTTCCGACAGGGGAGGTTCAACGGGGGGGAGGGGGTACGGTAACTAGCTAGAGGGGACCCCCCCCATGCGCTGTCTCCTGTGGCGCGCTCTCTCGGATATCATGGCCGTGGCCATGAAATCTTTTTATGTGTCACGGCCCCTTTCTTCTTTGAACGCTTCCCGTACCCCCCACTCGTCCGCACGCACGCCTCGTTCTATGATACGCTAACCCCCTTCGTCCAGGCATCCAACGACGACACGGCCTGAATGCGCGGCCCCAGAGGTCCCGACCCCTTCCCAGGGACTATAGCCTCTCGTCTCTGATCAGCGCTGGCCCTTGCCCCGAGGCCCAGAGCAACGCTCCCCAGAGGCCGCAATCGGGGAACAACGCCAGGAGGAAAAAACAAATAATAATGATACTGCATGTGTGATTTAACTATAGAAAAGCAATATTAAAATAATTGCATGTTTTACTTCTAACACAAAAAAAACGCACCGTCGGAGATCTTGCCTCCTGGCCTCCCCCTTCGGCGCGCACCTCCCCCGGCACGCCGGCCGGCCAGGCTCGCCCTGGACCTGGTGGCGGCGCCAGGTCGGCCGACCGAGCTCGGCCTGGGCGCCGTCGTGGTGGCCTCGCCGGGGCCCGGCTCCGTCAGCGACGGGTCGCCGGCGGGGAGGGGGGGGGGGTGGAGGGTTTCTCCGAAGGGCTTAGGCGACCCTTGCTCCTCCTTCTCCTCCTCCTCCTCCTCCTCCCTTCCCTCTTCTCCTCCTCCTCCTCCTTCTCCTCCTCCTTCTCCTCCTCCTTCTCCTCCTCCTCCTCCTCCTCCATCTCCTCCTCCCCCTCCTCCTCCTCCTCGGGTCCCCTACGGCCCCGGGAGAAACCGTGCAGGGAGGGGGTCCGCCGATGCGTGGTGCCATCTGGACGCCCGAAAGGGGCACGGAAGGAATGGGCACGATGCCCAGCAGCAGTTCTTGTTCATCCTGAAGAGGACTCGCTGTCCGCGCCGCCGCGGCCTGTGTCCCATTCGAGACAGGAGGCCGCCCGCCCAACAGCGGCCGCCGGTGGTCTGGGACAACAGCTGTTGTTGGGCATTGGACCCGTTCTTTCCCTACCCATTTCGGGCGTCCAACTACCAAGGCTGGGCAGCGGCTGGGCCCCAAAATGCAGGCGTTGCATAGGGCTGGCCGTTTTCGGTTCCGGCTTCGGCCCCCGAGGGCTGCTTGCCAACACCTCCGGGGCCGTCTTGAGGTCGGCTGGGGAGGAAGAGCTGGCCTTCGGGAAGGGGTCGAGATCCCCAGGGGGGCCCACGCCGCGAGGCACTGACAGGACACCCAGACATACACCCTGGGCGATGCTTAAGAAAACTCACGTTTTCCGCCATGGTCTCGATTGCTCTTAATGTTTCAATGTAAATCCTAAGATTTCGATAGAAATTATGGATCTTTGTTTGAATTCTGAGACTATGAATTTCTTAACCCATGATTTCTTAAGCATTTCGCAGGGTGTACTAGAATTCAGGCCAAACTCAAGCCAGAAGTTTTCGGTGACCGTCTGCGGCCTGCTGGGGCCCTCAGGGCCCTCTCCGAGCCCCTGCACAGTCGTACATCGGCTCGGGATGCGAAGCTGGCCCATGGGCAATGTGTCGCGACTTCTGGGGACGTGGGAATCAAGACATTGGCTCTCTGGGAGCGGGGGAGGAGCTTCCGTCGATCGCAATACACTTACCGTGCAAACTGGGCGTTACATGTCTTTCGCACCAGGCGTTTTTCGCCCAGGTCTGGACCAGGGGGCCCTCGCGGATCGATACGGTTCGCGACATGTGTCGGAAAGGTGGAGTCGAGGGCAACGGCCGTCATTTCCCACGACGTTACATGTTTAGCGACGTCGGAATTCAGGGAGCGCGGAGGTGCAGGAGCAGGAATAAGGAAAAAAATGCATAAATGAGGAGGGTAGGGAAGGAGGCAGGTAGGAAGAAAAATAAGAAGAAGACGAGTCATGAAGGCGTAAGGGAGGAAAAGAGAGCAGAAAAGGAGGGCAGGTAAGGAAGAAACAGAATCGGAAAGAAGAAGAAGAAGAGAGCAGGGAAGGAGGCATAAAGGACGAGGGTAGGGAGGGGCAGGAAGAAGGACGAGGCGAAAAGGAGGAGGAAAGAAGAGGGAGGTCATCCCGCTGCAAAGGTCGGCGTGGGCGCTGGACGAGGCAGGAAGGAGTCCTGAGGAGAGGCTCTGCCTCCTCCTCCTCCTCCTCCTCATCATCATCATCGTCATCGTCGTCGTCATCATCATCATCATCATCATCATCATCCTCATCCTCATCCTCATCCTCATCCTCATCCTCCTCCTCCTCCTCCTCCTCCTCCTGCATCCGTGGCCCCAGCACTCGACCCGTTTTAGAGCCGGTGTCCTTATTCGCCTTCTTCTCAGCTTCGTCTCCCTTGTCGAAACGTGTTGCGCGCGTGGCCCTGCCTGAGCAGAGGACAAATCACCTTTTTTGCGCTGCACTGGCACGAGACGGGCACAACATGTCTTCGCGGGAGTGCAGGCGAGGACCTCCACCGTCAGTTGCTCTTGTGCCCGCTCTTCGCGATGAGCACCTGATTTGAGCAGTCTGGGAGGTCTTACCGCATCCCGGACATGAGCACTTCATCTTGGGCTTTCGAGTTGTTCCCAGTGTCCAGCCTGCACCTCCGGAGGGAATCGGGCATGACAGCTTCGCGCGGTGATCTGCTGATTGAACTCCTCCTGGGCTGAGACTTAGTGGGGGTAGTGTACAGTGACGGCTCCGCCTTTCAGGATTGGCATAGTAACGTGCATCGAGCGGGTTGGGGACTCGTTAAGTGTTCGGCCGAGAGTGAGGTGATCTCCAGGAAGATGGGCCAAGTAGGCTACTTGCTCCTTCAAACTAGCCCCGCCGCCGAACAGGTCGCGGTCCAAGTTGCTATCACCCATGCCCCCCCCTAGTTGCACAAATTCGCGCTAGTTACTTCGGAGCGATCGGCCTTCACCAGAAGCCCAGGGACGTTCTCATGAATATAAAACCGTGCTGCGGGGATCAAGTTCCGCACAGTGGGGCGCTGTGCGGAGGCGTAACTAGGTCTAAGGTCTTTGCGCATGTGGGTCCAGCATGTTCCCCCTTCGGCTCAGAAGAATGGATGGTCGCCCTCGGCAGTGTTGCGGCCGATGCATAGCCCAAGTTAGGAGCTAATGGGCGTACCATGCCAGCAGTTTCGTAAGTAGAGTCCCAGTTAACAAGCACCAAGGCCCTCAAGGCGTATTTAACATACGTGGCCCCCCCGAGCATGGCAATCACCGCGCCCGCCTCCGAAGAGAGGCACGGGGAGGGAAGGCCGCGAGCAATTACAGTTACTTACCGAGCGGAGCTCTTTGCTTAGCGGAGGGCACCAGGGGATCGGGGTCGTTGTGTTGGCGGGAGCGCGTCCTCTTCCTCCGCTCCGGCCCCATCCACCCCCTGTGCACCCTGCCCGCCGACTCGTTTGCGTCCTGTTGGCGCTAGCGCCCTCTGTCACCCAGAAGCCCGTGTTCGGGGCTTGTGGCTTCAGGACCGGCACACAGTCTGAAGCACCTGCGGCCCAGCCTCTCTGGAGTTGCGCAGTATGCTGCAGACGCAGGCATGCCGAGAGGCCGCCCCAGTCTCAGACGTGTCCAGGCCACAACACCGTGTTTGGTACTGTTTCCGCCGATCCGACGTTCCATTGAATCTTGATAGCCGCTCACGGTTCCAGTAATTTTTCGTTTGCCAGTATTTGCCGTGGATGCATCTGCCAAGGCAAGAGGGGCCGTGACATGATACAGGAATGCAGGGGTTGGTTCTGGCCCCCCAAAACAGGGATGGTTGAGCAAGAATATTTCAAAAGAAGTACACATTCCAGCCTTTTTAGGTCCCTCTCCAAAGCGGAGCGCCGCACCATACATTCTAAGTGGAATCAATTGGTTACATATGTCTCATTGTACGTAAAGTATG